TTTTTTTTTGGAACAAGCAGTATAACAGCAACTCAATCGGCACCTTATTCCACATCGAATCATCCAATAACTAATCCATCATCACCGTACATCCCATAATATCAAGTCTAAAATTATATATCATACAATCTGGTTGACAAAAAAAAGGCTCAAGGTTCAAATGAGCTACTATTGGAAAATGTTTTTAAGGACAAAGAAACAATGTCAAACGAGCTAATTTCAAATACCGCCTAAATCATTATCAAAGCTCACGATCATTCATGCAATCGTTTCAAGTAAGATTCAAAGCAAATTCTAATAACTCGGGTACTCAATTGACACACGTAAACCATGAATAAATGTTCGAGCCTCACTAGGCTCAATATATTGCTAGTCAAGGCTCACAAGCCAATGTTTTAAATACCGGCATGTATAGGCCGATATTACTGGTAATACCAGATACCGATGGCCTGACCGGTATGGTTACTTTTTAAATAACATTTTGGCCAAAATGTCGGGTTATACCGGTTTTACCGGACAGTACCGGCCAAAATATTGGTTAAAATACCGGGTGTACCGATTTTTTTTTTTTTAAATTGAAAATATTTTTATTAATTTATATATATAAATAGAAAGTTCTACACTTATTTTAATATATTTACAGTGTTATTAGATTTTAGTTAATTTTAGTGTTTATTATAGTTAGTTTTATACATTGTATATTATAACTGGTAAAATAGACAGTAAAACCGGTTGAACCGCGTACCGGTGGCTCGTCCGGTATGATAACCGGTATTGTATTTGAAACAGTGTCACAAGCATTTTCATTTAAGCATGACTTTTACAACTCATCACAATTAATCAATCACATCAAATCATCATTCACTATTCAAGTTTTACATACCATCATCAACCCAAAGCAAACAAAATACACCAAGGAATCATGAAATAATAATAAAAATAAACAAGTGAATAAACGTGCTCTACTAAAATAAAAAGAAAAAAAATGCAACCTATATGAAATGCAAGAAAATTAGGAACAAGAAACCTAAGATATATCGCATTTCCCCTTCCCCAAAGTTATTCTTTTGAGAAAGAACAAGTTTGAATGTAGGTGCGAAAATGAATACTTGTAGTCGAAGCGGAAAAGGCCGTGGACGAGGAGGTGCGGATGTGGTGCCTCCATTGACCCGTTCACCGTGTCCTGCACTAGCGAGGAATGACGAAGATCGAGTTCTATCCACGCAAGTTGGCACATAAATGGAAAAAAAAGAGGTGGCCTCGGCTTGCGAGGATAGTGATTTAGCCAACTCGATATCGGACGAGGCCGCCGAGCGTGCCCTAAGCCCTTGGTATTCATGAGGCAGTGGTGCCTCAATTCAAGCGGCTCGGAATTTCTGACATTCTACGTGATTGTCCGGCTACATATAAGTCTTGAAGATGACGAGAGTATGGTTGTTTTTCGAACCGAACGTTCGCAAATAAAGCTCGTTCGAGTTCGTTCGTGTTCGATAACAGCTCGTTTGTTTAGCATTCGAACCGAACATGAACATAAAATTACGCTTGTTTAGTTATCGAACGAACACGAACAAGTTCGCAAACTAATCGAGCGTTCGCGAACAAAAAAAAAATATTTTATAATTTTATATATTATATATGGTATATACATGTATAATGTAATATATAAATATGAATATACGTTAGAAATAAAATAAAAATATTTTACAATTTTATATATTGTATATACATATATTATATAATATATAAATACGAATATATATTAAATATTAAATAAAATAACTTGTACGACATTAAAGCAAAATAAAAGTTAAAAATCATGAACATGAACATGTCGAACAATTCGAACACGGACTTGTGTTCAACTAGATAAACGAACGAACACGAACGTGTCGAACCAATAAACGAACAAACACGAACGGAATTTTTTATTCGTTTACTAAACGAACGAACAAGAACATGTTTGAAAATTAGTCGAACTCGAGCTCGAACACCTTAAGCTCGGTTCGGTTCGGTTCGATAACAGCCTTAGGTGAGGGTGTCCGGGACGACATCAGTTGGACAATCGACTGTGAGGGGTAACTGAGGGCCAACTAGCAGCATGGTTCGAT